GCTCAACCCTCATCTTTGTGCTAGCACAAGACTTCAGAAAGAGAGGTAGGTAGTAGGAAAGTTCACTTCTGTAACTGTAGTTGGATTTGTGTGTAAGAAGTGCCACCATTTAACAGCATGCAGCACCTGAATCACTGCAGCAAGCTCCTGCATTTTGAAAATACAATTAGGAAAAAAGAATAGGAATGAAGCCCTATTTGCACATATATTTTTACCTTTTGAGATATTAAGCTTTTAATTTCTGAGCATCTAAAAATGTCAGATGACTGAAAAAACACCTCAAGCATTGATATACAGCTTCTCTCCCAATACCAGATAGCAAAGAGCAAAAAAATAGAATAGCACTATTTGAAAATGGCCACCAGCCTGACAATTTCTTCCAGATTTGCATTTTTCCTTTAGACAAAACAATGGTTTAAAATCATATCCATGAGGGAAAAATAGAAGCATCATGGCTGAATGTACTTCTCTGAAGTAAAAAAGTCCATGTAGACAGCTATGGTTTTTTTCATGGCATTGTTTGCACACACAATAATACAGCAGCTCCATGGTTTTTACTGTTGTTGTTCTTTTAAATAAATAACAATAATAAAATAAAATGGAAATAATAAAATAAAATGGAAATAATAAAAGTTCATTTTGCTAGGTTCTTCCTATATTCACTTCTTCATTAGAAAAAGAGTAAATGAGCACTTTCTGTTCTTCAGGCCTGCCCACTCTGTTGAAGGTAGAACTTTTATAGTCTTCCCAAATTACATATTTTAAGCAAAATGCTCTTTAAAATATACTTTAACTTTTTCTTAGAGATCTTTTCAGCTTAGGAACTTTCAAAAATAGTGTTCTTGGAGGGGTTTTTGGTTTTTTTTTATGTTGTTCCTACTGTTTTTTTTCTCAATAGCCATTATAGTTGCCCACATGCCCCTCCCAGCTTCATCACCATGGGAAGCTGCATCTTCCCCTTTCACTGTGACACCCTTTATTCTCTCTTTTGTAAGAGAACCTCCAAAAGGCAATCTCAGCTGAGTGCAGCAGCATCCTGTAATAAAATTCCCATTTGAAAACAGAAATTCCATTGAAAGGCAATAATCAAACATGGTGCTAAGCTTTTCCACAAGAGATGACAAAACAGTTCTGGACAGCAGTTCTGAACCTCACACTCTTTCACCTCAGGCCCCAGGTACCAAATGGAATGGTCACTGAGAGCACAGGCCAGGGTCTCACAGGTTAAATGTGGTGCTACAGGGGATGCTGGTTTGTTTTCTAGCACAAGAATGACCTGTAAGTCTTCCTTACAAGACAAATCATAGAATCATAGAACGTTTTGTGTTGGAAGGGACCTTAAAGATCATCTAGTTCCAACTCCTTTGCCATGGGCAGAGACTCCTTCCACTAGACCAGGTTGCTCAGAGCTCCATCCATCCTGGCCTTGGACACTTCCAGGGATGGGGCAGCCACAGCTTCCCTGGGCAACTGTGCCAGGGGCTCAGCACCTTCACAGGGAACAATTCCTTCCCAATATCCAATTTAAGTCTGCCTCTGACAATTTAAAGTCACTTCCCTTTGCTCTGTCACTATACTGCTCTTGTGAAAAATCCCTCTCCAGCTCCCTTGCAGCTCATTTAGGCACTGGAAAGCTGATGGAAGGTTCTCCCAGTGACCCAAATTCTCAGTTTGTCTTTACAGGAGAGGTGCTCCATCCCTCTGAGCATCTTTGTGGCCTCCTCTGCACTCAATCCAGCAGGTCTGTGCCCTTTCTTGTTGGGGTCCCCAGAGCTGGATGCAGAGCTCCAGGTGGGATCTGAGCAGAGCAGAGGGGCAGGATCCCCTCCCTTGCCCTGCTGCCCATGGAGCTCTGGATGCAGCCCAGGGCACATTTGGCTTTCTGGGCTGTGAGTGCACCTTGCTGGGTCCTGTTGAGCTTCCTGACAACCAACGACCCCAAGCCCTTCTCCTCAGGGCTGTTCCCAATCCATTCTCAGCCCAGGCTGTGTTTGTGCTGGGTATTGCCCCAGCCCAGCTCAGGACCTGGCTCTTGGCCCTGCTGAACTCCATGAGGTTCTCCCGAGCCTGTCCAGGCTGTCAGTGCCCCTGTGGATGGCATCCCTGCCCTCCAGGGTGCCCATTGCAGCACACAGCCTGATGTTGTCAGCTCAGCATCTTCCATCCCACTTTGCACAGGCTCCACAGGAAAAGCAACTTAACAGAGTAATCTTTATTGTCAAGGTAAACTATGAATAATCCATTTTTTTCCTCATTAAAACCTGTGAGAATCAGTTTTACCCTCCAACCTAAATAAAATAATTAGGAATAAAGGCAAAGAAATTCTTTTATAGGCAGTTTAGGCAGTTGTAGAATTTTATTGCCAAACCTGAAGAAATTTTACTATTAAATAAATTTTCCATTTACCAATGCAAGCAGTTTTATTTTATGATCAGTCACAGAAGTTACCATGTAATTTCTTATATTATATACTATTCCCAGAATTTATGCCCTTAGAGTAAAAAGTTGCTTTTTTTTTGAAGAACATAGAGTGAACAGAAATGCTCTCAAATGTTTAAAATACTTTCTAAAAACCAGCATGTATATAGTTCTGTAGGTTTTACCAGAGGTGTATAATTTTTCAGCATTACGTCTTAATGCCAGTTTCCTGAAGGAGCTTTGACTACAAAAGGCATGAATATATTTTCAAAGGATGATGGATAAATTGGTGGGTGGTAATATAATATATCTTAGGCAGCTGATCAGGGCTTTTTATCCTCTGCCTGTCTTTTAGTTATACACAATTTCAAGATAATTATGGTCTATAAGAATGTCTTTTCCCCTTCCTACTACCAGCAATATTTGTCTTGGTTATAGGTTCAAGAAACTTCCAATCACATCACAAAATTGGAATAGGGCAATTATGGCATCTTGGCAGAGAACTGGACATGCAAATGGACTGACCACACAATATGGACATTTAATAAGGACACAGTCTGGACAGTTAATGAACTTCCTTTATGAAATACACCAACTCATTAGATACTGGCTATGGAATATACTGAATCCATACTTGAATTTTACAAAATAAAACCCAAGTATAATTCAGGTTGATATCTATCATGTCTGTGTTACCTTTCCAGTAAAGAATACAGACCAATCAGATAGTGAAAATAAATTAATTACTAATCTCATTAAATAAAGTGCAATGTTATTCATTAGTCAGATATGCTATATTAAAATCCCAACTCGGTGGAGTCATCCAAATCCCAAGCAGCTCATTTTTATGACAGGAGAGGTCTTCTTGAAGTGCCTGAAGGTGAGGGTTACTTCACTGACACAATACAAATCAGAGAAATTAACTCTACTGTGCCTTGTCTGCTAAACAAAGGAAGTGTTGAATAGCCAAGGTGGGAGTAAACAGCACAGACAAGAATATTGTTGGGTACACAAGGACACAGAGGGAGGAAGAAATCAAAATAAGATTGTTTTCTTTGACCTTCCTGCAGCAATATTGTCCCTCCATTTATAATCTCTTATAGTAGCACCACAATGGAGCTACAACAGAGGAATGCAGCATTCCTGCCTAGTTTCTACCCCTGAAAATTAAGAAGGAAAATTATTCCATATCAGAAAACAGAGCTGGATAAGGCACATCAAACTAACTGACCCCAAAGAGGCACAAGATGTAGGACAGATGTATGTAACAATGTTTGATTATATAAAAAGGGAAATAGGAGCCAGTAAAAACATGACAGGCTATGAACTACTGAATCAAAGGTGAATGAAAGGAAAATAGAATGTACATTAGCTATTCCATTTTAAGAAAATTTAATTTAATGTAATAAAAATACTAATTTGGATAATTCAATCTCGATGAGAAAAACAACTGCAATAATCGTGTTGTATCGCCAGGGAGTCAATACTTGATTATCAGTTATTTAAAACCATTTAATTAAAAAATATAGCACATTCTTATGGAATTCATACTTGAAAATTAAATTTTAACCTGTTTCTTTAACCTTTATTCTAAACCACAAGTAAGAAAAAAATTCACCCTTAAATTAACCTTCTTTAGGTTCAAGATCACTAAAAATCTGATTTTTCACAATCACAGTAATTTAATTTCAATAAGAATACATTTTTTCCTGAATACTGAAGATAATATTCAATAGGTAAGGCATAGAAATTTACCATCCCTAGGTAGGAAAACAGAAGAGTAATGATTTTGTCCAGAAATAAGACACTTAAGGAAATAGCCAGACTTCATTTGATGCAGAAGTAATCAGTAAATTATATGTTACTTCTGATATTAGGAAAACGCAGCCTTAGAAAGACATAAAATATTTAATGAAATTTTGTAAGATTATCCTCACACTTCAGCATTTTTTGCACTGTTGATCAGGCTTTTTCCCTTACGTAATTTTCTCATAACAGAAACTATCAGTGTTTGATTGGGAGTCCACTGCAGTCTGAAGGGATCATTTCTGTATGACCTGATCCAAAGTTGACCATGTTCCCTAGCACAAAAAAGAGTCAGAATGAAATGTAAGTGTAAAGGAAATTGTAAAGATGTTAAATTTATTTGTTACAGGACACTACAATAAATATCCACACAAAACGTACACTGTTTTTACCACAACATACTGGAGGAAGCTTAACTTTTCTTCCTCCTGGGCAGGAGGAAACTGTAAGCAGTTGTTACAGGAAACTGTAAGTTCAGTTTTACTGAAACCATTCCACTAAGCCAGCCAGACTGTCTGCTTTTCATCCATAACCAAAATAAAGAATAAACAGGTTCCAAGCCTGATTTGGCCTTGGGAGGATGGTACTCCACTGTCCACAGATGGGAGATAGAGACCTGAATTTAATTCCCAAATCTGGCTAGTGTAAATACTCCTGTACTTCCCAAAACTTTCTTATGAATCACCAAGATGAATCCATTTGTTGCTACACAATATATACACTTTAAAATGCATTTAATTCATCAAGACATTACAAAAGCAATGGGTCTTATTTACCTTCAATATCTTGTCAGGATGCTCTTTGGCAGAAGCAACAAACAGGTCATGGCCACAGACAATTCCCTCTGCGAGAAAATACTTGAACAACAAATTGGAGTAAAGGCCGTATTTATCCTCCTCTGTGAAAACAAGAATGGTTGGATTTTATTTTATTTTATTTTAGTTAGATAAATTTCCCACCTGAAGGTTCACAACACTATAAAAAGCTTCTTTGGGTCTATCTCCTGGAGTATATAATGTACAATAGAGATCAAAGGTAAAGTAGGACTCCAAAACTTAAAATAATGCTTGATAATTCTGTATTTCTAATTTTTCAAGCCAGAGGAATAGTTTTCAATCAGGCATTTAATTCTAACATATGGATGGGATACAGCAAGAATGCTCTATTCCTTACAAGGCTTCCCAGAAGTATCAATGAAGATGGCTGAATTTATAGATTAATGGAAAGGGGTTCCTTAATTTAGGAGAACTATGTTAATATTGATATTCATAGTGCTTAAAAATTGCTTAAAGTAGCTGTTACCTGATCCTTTTCAAAATTTAGCCATATTTGGCATGTTAAACCTATACAGAGGTAATATTCAGAATAGAGACATTTTTATGTCTGCACTCCTTCCAAAATTGTAAAAACTACAAAAACCAAATGGATATATTGAAGAAACCAAACCATTAGCAATGTTGTTTTTGAAACCTAACCAGAGCAAAATCAGAACAAACTGAAAGACTCATGAATTTCCAGTTTAGCAGTGAGACAATATTTGTTAGCAGACATTGTGAATACTGGCCCATTGAAATCAAAATATAAACCCTGACTTCAGAAAGAGCAGCATCTCCTTCAGCTTCCCTGGTACAAAAAAGTGTCAGAAATTACCAGAATTAGGAAGTTGTAATGAATTCCTACAACTAAAACTTAGCTTGACTTCAAGTTATGAGAAGTGGATGTGGGCATAACAACTGAAATCTCTGATGAACCATCTCTGATGTTCTTTATTTGCAGAAAATACCAACAACAGCAGTGTTAATGGGTTTTTTTTTATGTTTTTGGGGAGAAAAGTAAATGTGCTACATTAGGTTTCACTTTTTCATTTCTTAATCTGGCAGCTGGAAGGCAACACACAGGGATGCTGAGACAGAAAAATACAGAGAGAGATATTTCTTCATACAGAACCAATGAGACTCAATCCATTCTTGGTGTGGCTTGGAAAATATTGCTTAACTACACATATGAAATATTAAAATTAAAAATAAAAAAACAGCACCAAAGAGAGATAATAAAAAAGTTGTCATTCATATCAAACTTGCAAAAAATGGTAGAGGAAAATAAAAATACTCTGACATGTAATTAAAATGAATCAATGGAGTGAAGGAGAAAAGGAAAGTGTATATCCATAAAGAAAAAAGAAAACTAATAGCAATGGGGAAATTTAAGAAACAAATCACAGGAAAGTATTGTTGCACTGCTATAGTCCTAATATCTTGCATGTGTACTGATACTTTCAGTGCTTAAATTAACAAGAAATTCAAACCACAAGTATTCAAAACCACTGGAAAAAAAAAAATGATTCTCCAAGAGATATTCCCCAACCTCCAAGGGATATTAGGCAAAACAAAACTTATTTCCTGCTTTTTTAAATTTCACTTTTAAATTCAGTATTTGGGATAGAGTCATTAGAAGTTACTCTAAAGCTCAAAACAGAGAAAAATGTTTGATAATCCAGTCACTAAGAGAGGAAATTAACTAAAACTGGATATCCAAATAAGCCAAGGGAATACAATAATTATAATGCTCTCAGTATTAGCCACTCTGCAGTCTGTTGTAGAGTCTTATGGTTTTAAGAATTTAGATTGTATTAACAGAACTTACCTTTGATACCATTTACCTGCTTAGGAAGCCATATTAGCCTTCAATGTACTTGCAATAACACAGTTTTTTTAAGAAAAATAATGTTCTTGTGACAAATATGGACAGTTCTGAATCATGAAAAGCACAGGACTGACAAAAGCTTACTGATGACAGTACTGAGTTCCTTCTCAAAATTTCATCAGGATGGATTTCCAAAAGAATTACAAACTGCAATTTACTTGAGAATTTGGAGCTTTTAAATAAATATTAGATACAGTTTACTCTTGCATCCTTATAAAGCTATTAATAGTGTCACTGAAGAACTGCCTTCCTACTAACTCAGTGATGAGACTGAGGATGAAGATCCACATCTGAGACTCAGGTGGACATAAAACTCAATTAGATAAAACTGAAACACTACCATTGCAGAAACAAAAGGCAGAACTGACACTACCTAAGGTTTTGAAGTATTAAAGTCATATTTTGTAAATACTGCCTGCTTAAATCTTAAACTGTTGCAAGAGGAAAATAAAACCCCTATGCTAAGTGTCCCTTATAACTGGAGTCCAGAACAGTGACAGCTCCTGCCCCCTCAAACATTGGCTCTCTCTTGTTATTCATGCTTTGTTGCATCCTGCATTATCATCAGTAATATATTATTCACAGTATATTGATTTCCATGGGCTAATCTCCATCCAGGAAGCTCTCAATTTAAGAACCAAAGACCTCTAGAAATCAAAGTGGCAGGATGAGATGTACTTTTTTGTTTTTTGTTTTTTTTTTTTTAAAAAAAGTCTGAGCTACCTGAAAGAAACCACCAAGTTTCCCTTGTAATCACATCCCTGTGGTAGATGTCACTGGAGAGAGACAAATTTGTTAGATCTCTCTCCGTCTGAACAAAAGAGAAGAAGTAACACTGGTCAGGCATTCTGGAAGGATCCTCAGCTGTAACATTTGCATCATCCTTGCTGAATGAAAAATCTTGGGTTCTCAATTTTTATCTACAGGTTAAAGTTCACCCTCTTCACCATCTGAGGCACAGAAACACTGAGTTGATATGTACTTAACTGACATTTAATGGAATATAAGAAAATATCTCGTTTAGTCCAAGTGTTTTATGGCTTGAGCCTGTGTGTACTCAAGAGAGACAGTCTTTCTGGATCATCATTTTTGATACTAATTATTCCTTAGAAAGTAAAAAACAAATTTTTTTGTGTCAAACATAACGTGGAAATTCCATAAACCATGGACAAATACAAGGAATCATACAATGTGTTGGTGATTATTTAACTAAGCTAAGAAGAAATATGGCTCTAACATTTAAGAAGAATTTTTCTTAAATTTTATTTTAAATGCTGAAATGTTAAAACATATTGTAGAAATAAAGCAATGAAGAACAGGGATATAAACTTTTGAACTGAAGACTATATCGAAGATTATAATTAATTTTGTTGACTCATTGATTTATTTGTAATATAACAGGGCTGGAGGGGTTCTTACACTACCATACCCTTCCAAAACATATTTTTGCAAAACAACAAGGAATGTTCAAGTTAGCAAATTAAAAACACATTCAGTGTAAGGACACATCATTTTAACATAAGCCTTTCCTTTCCTCTTAAATTGATTTTCATAAGAGTAAACTTACAGCAAAAAAAAAAGTAAATTAAGAATTGGAGAGTGATCTAAATATAAACCACCTCATAGTCTCCTACAGTACTCTAAGGATTAGATGTGTCTCAGAAAGCCTTTACAAACAGTGTATCTGGAATTGTTAAAGTCAATGCATCTGTAAGAATCCTTCAGTTCTTCAATTTGTTAGATAGAGGATGCTTTTTATTGATTCATTTCTAGGTCACTAAACTTTTGTGGTATTCAAAAGATCTAAAGTGCATCCATATGGGGCTTTTCTGATAGCATCCATTGTACCCTGGCTTCAATAGTTACTATTCAAAACCAAAGGAGTACAGCTTTCTTCCTGTAAATAAACAAACACATCATTTAGCACAGGTACTTCAGCAGATCACTGATCACTTTCACAGAACCCCAGAATGAAACACTTTCCTGATAATGCTTGGACTTAGCATTTGAATGGCTAGGGTCAGTTTTCTACTGTTACCTTTATCTTTCCAAACTCCTCCACATCCAGAAGAACTACCTTCACTCGGCATATGTAGGAACTAACATTTCAGACCACTTTAGGACAAGCCTGGCCCAAATCTTTAGTCTCAGCCTCCACACTAAAGAGCTGCCTGGTCAGCAGCCTTCATTGTGAACTTCACTTCCAGCTACTAAGGCACATAAACAAATAAGACTCTTGCACCTGCAGCCTCTTTTCTGGGTCCAGTCACTGCAAGTCACATGGCACTGCGCAGCTTTCCCCGATTCTTTTGGAACAAAGAGTGTTCTCCAGCTAAGCAGCAGGTGAGTAACTAGTGAAGCGTGAACCTATACAAGGAAAAGAGATTATTTACCTAGAAGTTATGCATATTGTCTCCAGGACAAAAGCTCTTCTGATCCTACAGATAAGGACATAAATAAAATAGTCCATTGTGATGGCTATCCATTGGTGTCTTTCCACATGAGCGTGCTTTCACGGCTGAAACAGTCATGGAGAAAGAGCAGTATTGTCACTATCAGAGTTCAACATACAACCTTGCTGAACACCAAGGATAAAGAACAATTCCTATTTATGGCTCTTTTCAGCACTGTACAGGCTACCAAATACATAAGGGATGTTCTTGACACCTTTGTGTATGGACTGTCTGTAGCTACTTCTCAAAGAAATTTGTGGGTTGTAGAATTAGGTACAGAATCTTAAGGCTTTTATCTAAGGCAGAGAAAACAAAAGAGAGCAGATATGTGTGAGGCACTGTAAAAATATAATTTGTTTAAAAAATTAAGGAAACAAATCTAATTATAGAAATTGATATGTAACCATGTGACCTCAAGGAAAAACTCCCTCTGCACAGAGGCATTCGTGTCCCCAGAGAGGGATGCAGAACAAGCACTAGAACTGGAAGAGGAATAAAAAGTCAGGAACAAAATTTATAAGGTAACAAATATCATATCTATAAATACTGTATTTACAATACCTGACTTTCAAACATCACAATACTGAACAGCATGAAGGGCTTTGAAAAACTCCAGTGGTCATTTGTAGTATAATTGCTTAAAATTATGAGAGCTGTAAGAGGAAAGAATAAGCCTGCAACAATGTAATGTACAGATGGCTTATTTTTTTTCTCTGTACAAAGTCTAGACAGGTTGCCCTAAAGCTGCCAAAAGCCTGTCACAGCCTATCAGTATTGATAATTTTTTACCAGATAGATGGTTCTACATTGTGGTCCTGTGACCTAAGGTGTGTCTTTCTCTCGCTATGAAACATCTCTCTCTAAATTGCTGCAGGTTATAAAATGAGATTATTAAAATAATCTGAAATTCCATTTAAAAGATACTTTTCTAATGTCCACGTTTACTAAGCTTGAGGGGATATACTTTGTGTCACTTGCATTTAATTAGCACATGCCAAACCAGAGTTGTCAAACATATAAGTTACAATATTTGGCATTTGGCCATACTTCAGGAAGGTGAATTCTGCTAACTGGTATTTTGTAGAATTATATTTAGCAAATCACTGTTTTGTACCTCTCTTGAGATTATCTTTTTCAGCTTTAAAAAGATGATAGATCCAGTGATATTGACAAGTGAAGAGAGCTCTTACCAGTCAGGTTAAATAGCATGCCTAACAAAAATAATAGTAGCTCATTAAAGTAGCTGAAACTGCTTCAAGGCTTAGGATGTACGAGTATAGACCTGTTTTTCACCAGACAACTTTAACTTTTAATAACTGACCTCAGCTACCAACAAAACCCCTCCTTCTGATAATCTTTAAAACATTTAGCTGTCAGTGACCTTGTCAAAACTGGGGCTTTTAAAGGTAAGCAAGAATAGGTTCTTACAGGGTGCCCAGGACAAATCTAGTGAGGGTGATTTAACTCACTATGCACAACATGTTATATAAACAAAACTTATATTGAAAAAATAACATCCTCCTGCAAAATCTTCCTGGGCTGGCAAAACACACATGCAACAGCTTGGAGTACATTGGGGTGGAGAGGGAAAGGAGTGTGCTTATTCTACTTGTTTGTTTTGAAAAGGCAGATTCTTCTGGGAAGCTGATCTTCTGCAGCAGGTTCAGATAAAAGTGGTCTCACATCCATGCTGAACAACCTGCTTTGATGGGTTCTACATCTAAGAAGTTGCCTCTTAGAAACCCACTACTGTAAGAATTTTTTTAAACTAAAGTACTAGTTAAAAATCCTAATTCTTGTTGGATGAACAAACCCCAGGAAGTTTCAAGCTGCTCTGGTAGGTAGAATCTTCCATGAGAATACCATGTGCTTCAACTCTCTAATTTTCATATAATTAAAACACTGTCAAAAGAATATACTATAGAATTAAGTTCAACTGAAAATCACAATGCTCTTTATTATTAATTGAGTATAAAAAACTTGTACGCTTATATTTCAAACAATATTTTACAGTCTTATCAAGTAATCTGTGCCATTACTACATCTTCAGAACACAACAGTTAAAATAAATATTTTAATACCCTGAATCTACTATTATTTGGTTAAATTAACCAAGATAATGCGTCGAATAATGAAGATGAGCATTTAATTTGCAAAGGGAGCTAAGCTAAAAGTAATGCAATTTATTCTTGCCTTAGAGAATGTTGAAGGAAGGGGGAAGAATTTAACCTTTTTATAACACTTGGAGTACAACACAGAAAGATCTTCCTAGGAGGTTCATCACTGACAGCTTCAATCCTGATAATATTAAGCTTGCCTAGACTAATCTCATGACAGAATTTCTTGGTAAGCTGACAGGATATTCTAACAATGCCATTACAATGTTACCTGCACCAACTTTAAAAATTAGTCTCAAAATTTTTAGACTAATGAGTCATGAATAAATATAGTTCCTGCTTTAAGACTTTTTGTATATAATTATATGTTTCAAAATAACATACGGTAAGTCTCATTTGAGAAAAAAATAGCTTTCAGATCTAAAAGAGACATTCTCATTTGGGTTTCTGTTTCATATCAGATCACAAATACACAACCAACATAGGGGATAAGCAAATTAAAACCTACCACTGAGTATGGCCAGATATGCAATCAGAATAAACAAAATTCAGGTAAAAATCCTTTCAGGAAAAACCTTCCATCATTTAATATTGTATTTTTCTGCTAGCAGGTTCATTGGATGCCACCCAGTCTGTCTGCTGGAAGGGGCAGTGAATATTGTAATGGGAAGACAAAATTAATCCCTGATTTATGTCAAATATAACAGTTCTAACTTTTTGTTTTTCTTCCTTCACCACAGCAAGATTGCAGCTCTTCTCAAACTGAAAATGGTTGGAATTAGGTAACATCAGTTATTTTTTCTGCCAAGTAACTATTCAAATTACTTAATCTGCACCACACCATACACTAACTTATATACTTTATGTAAAAATCAACATCTCCTAAGACTCAGTGACATTGATAACTGTCTCTAATGCAGAAATAAAGACCAGGCTTGAAATAACAACAACCCATAGTGAGATCAATTACCTTGCTCAGTGGCTAACAGAAAATTTTATTCAGTCTCTAGTGGAGGTTATATTAGCCCTATACCAACAGAAAGTAACATGCTGTAATTCTAATAGTGGCTAAAAGAGATTATGAACAAGTTTTCCCCAAATCCCACTGTTCAGTTCTTTAGTGTTAAGGCCAATTTTTGAATTGTAACAATTCAAAATTTGAATTTGAATTCAAATTCAGTTTCCCAAATGATGGTTGTCTTTGCACAGGGAAATAAGAACAGATAAAATATTAAGACCACATCCTTTTTAAAAAATGAAAGAAAATGACTGATTAAATCTGTCTCAAGGCTGAAAAGAGCCTGAAGAGCTTCTATTGGTGTCTATCACTAGAGACAAGCAGGCTCTTAAAACACTCTACAGTCACAACTTCTTTGAAACCACCCAAGTCACCCAGGCACGTGCCAGTCTGCTTTGTCCCTAGGCAAGGCTGAAATCCAGTCACTGGTCTCAATTATGGGAGTCATGAGATTCAAGTGCTCCTTCAGGGTGGAATTTAATACAAGAACTCTTAATTCTTCTACAGGTTTTGTGTCAAACAGAAAGGAAAGCTGGACACCTCAGCTGCAATGGAGACATGGTTCCACTGTGGTCTGTAAAGGGAATTCTGGTGTAAACTATTTAATTATCTCAGTTTGCCTCATCCACACCCAGACAGAAAGCAGGTTTCCATCACCTTGCTCTCAGCTGGCAACCAAAAGATTAAAAAGTTCTGCATTGCATGTCTTCCTCAGACATGCCAAACTTAAACAAACCCCTTTGTGACGGTACACAGTTTGAACCTAACAGCAGTTTACAAAATCTTAACTAATTTGTGTACTTTGCTAATAAATCCTGAAATGTGCTTAATGCCCTGATTTCAAACAGAATCCTGGGGTATTCTTCCTGGGTGCTAAAAATAAGGTTTTGATTCACCTCCAGTAATCCTTGAGACAGACAATAGTCCACTCTGAAGGCTACACAAAGTGGAGGAAGCTGAGAGTTACACTTTCTTAGTGTGACTTCAAAAAACAGTGAAAAGAGAGTCTGGTTAATGAACACATTAAAGAGTGAAACGCTTCAGAATATGGCTTTAAGTAACTATAAAATCTATACTAACCAATAAGAAGAAGGGTTCCAACAGCTACGCCTCCACCTGGAAACAAAACAAAATGAAGAATAAAGTAAGAATACATTTTAATACTATGTTAGAGAACAATTAACTTTTCTTAGTTTATAAGTCAAAGAAAGGTGATAACGGGGAATTTAAAAATATAAAAGTGAACAACATTTTAATTACCTTTGCAATACTTACTACAATTCTCTATTATGAAATAATTATACATTACATGTAATTATATACTGCACATTACAATTACTTTCACAATATACTGTACTATCATCATTGTGGTAAAAAGATCCTGCAGAGCTCTGCACAACCACGCTCGAGTACTACAGTGGTGATGTATGGTCTGAGCCAGCAGATTTTTTTACTGGGATGACTCAAGGGAGTAAACATTCCCCAAATTAAATTAATATTAATCACTATCAAGTGATACTCCTTTGTATCAAGAAGGATGTAAGCTAAGTGACTTACTAAGATTTTAGTAGATTTTAGAAAATTCCCACTCAAGTTTTAGAGGCAAAATACTGGCTCCAATGCTTTTTATCTTACTGCTGAAAACTGACATGGCATGACAAGACTTGCACCCATTGAAACCTGGACTAAGGCATAAACATCACAACACACACTATGAAAAATCATACACTACTGAAGACATTAAATTTTTTTCTAGTAGGCCTTGGACATAATAACTCCATGGATTCCTTTACAAGAACTGTGAAAGAAGAACTCGTATTTTATTTTAGGGAAAGATTACACTGATTTATAATCTGAATTCCAAGAATTACACTAGTGGAATAACCTGAAATCAGAGAATTTTGTTTAACAATTATATAACACTTTGACAGGAAAGCTAAAAATCCCTGGAAGTGTTCAGATGGCTATATGTAACCAGCCTACTGAAGTGTTTTGCATGGACACTGCAGGATGTCCTCTGCAATTCCGTACTGATTTAAAAGCAAGTTAGAGGCAAACTAATTGATGAATCCCATCAGCACTGAATGCAAGGCTCCAGAAGTCAATTCTGGACTGCACAGATGGGCTGCAGTGAACAAGATCTTTCATTTTATACATTTGTAAGAGGTCAATAAACTCCACTAGAAATTGATTCCAATACCAGTTGGACCAACTTCTTAATCTTCAGCTCTGCTAGTGGGACTACAAATGCCTGCAGTATCTGTAGTGATGCCATATACCCAGAAGGAAGAGAAAAAGAAAATTCCTCTCCCATAAGCCAAAAAATGCTAATATTGTTGCAAAATAGCACCTGAATTAAAACCAGAACAGGATCACTTTGCCACGATGCACCACAATTCGAGCATTACTTGGCAGTGAGTGTTTAGTCAGCTACTAATTTCATAGTTATGGAGAAGCAGATGTTTCAAGCTAAACTCCTGAGTCAAGATGTACAGCAAGCTGATCAGGTAATCAAGCATTTTTTAGATATTTAAAAAGCAAACAAAGAAACCAATTTCAACTGCTGTTTATCAGAAAGTTAGAGTCACTCATGAAATCCTCATGCTCTAAGCCAATGATTTTTGTTCCATTTATTTGTTCAGGAGATAAATGCAAATGAACCCAAAAGATGTACCACAGGGGAAAGTGAAAAAAAAAAAGACTGAAATCTGAAATCATACCGATGTTTGATACAAAGTATGCTTCCAATATTCACTGTATTTAATTGTTCAGGGAGACAGAACACAGATTATTAACAATAGTCATTTAAAATTAGCACATGCTCTATACAGCCCAGAGTAAAGAAAAGCTCCAAATGCTGAGATTTTACCAAATCCTAGATTGACACTGCAAATATGATTAAGGCAGCCATATGTATTATCTCATGGCAATATGGACTTTAAAATCTTGGTCAGAAAGAAGTTCACTTGTAGCCATGACAAAAGTAATGTCTTTTCTGCTTTTACAGTGAATTTGTCAAACAGTGCAGCCAAAATTCTCTCAAGCTTTATTTTCAGATCATCAGTGGTGCTGTTTCTACAAGCCAGGGCTGTAACATATGTGACATACCCTGGTTGCTAAAGGCAAACTCAGGTCAGAGCATTGTCTTTATGTTATCAGATGTAGTGAGTGGTTTGAACAAGTGTCTTCTATTACTGGGAATGCAAAACTATTGCAGTTACCATGGTTACATGTTCATATTACAACGAGGAACAATACTAGTAAATTAAACAAAAGACAGACAACAGGGAAAAATAGCAGGAATGCTGATGGAATCAAAAGGAAGAGGCAAAATCTTTAAGTTTCCCAGGAAAGGTGCTGTGAACTTTTCATTCCTCCCCATTTTGCTATTTTAATTTTTCTTTGAAAGTATCTAAGGCAGTGGCATATATAAATAAGCAAGACTTGCAACTTTCTACATTGCTTCTTACAGCAGAGTGATTTAAGATCTTATGGAGAGAAGCACAACAAACTTTGCAAGCTAAGAAGTGCCCAGATTGTTTTCAAAGCATATCCCTGACCTTTTTTTCGGCAGCCTGAAACAAAACACTCAATACCAGGCTTGTGATGGTACATACGGCCCATAAACCTTGAAAGTAAACTTGAATATAAAGTCTGGAAGTTCAGAGTGCCCTGAGGGTAACACAGCGTTTGAAATCCAGCACTTATCTACCACTTCTCTTCCAATGGAAATTCACTCCATACAACAATGTAACAATCAGCCGGCAGCTGTAGGGTGAAAGAAACTCCTTGGATTCTCTGCCTTTTCCTCTCTCCAGAAGCTCCTCATTAGACCTGTGTGTGTGATAACACCGTGCTTTCCCTCATTCACACTCACTCATGAGCTGTACCTTCATGTCTGGCAAACAATTCTGTATCTGGGTTACAGATTCTGAACAGAGCCAACTTAAATTCAAGCCCAAACCGGAGATCTCCAAGACTGTCTAGTGACTGTTACAATGTCTATGAGAATATGAAAATAGCAGTCTAAAAGAGTTCGTAGTAACTTATATTAGGAATTTATAAAAAAAAAAAAAGGAAAAAGAAAAAAGATTGTCCTCAGTCCCTGGTGATAATAAAAATTAAATATTTTTACATTCAATTATTTAACTGCCAGTGGGCAAGACGAAAGAAGAAAAATACCAATATTATTTCAGAAACACACAAACAGCATCCTGCAACACATTAATGAAGCATTTCCATGCCCAGAAAAAGGACACAAAACAGACCAAGTCAACACTTGTAGGGTCACCAGCACAGTGGGCTGCACCATGAGAGGCTCAGTGAGATGCCCAAAGGATCCTTTTTCACCTTTACTCAGCACTCACCAGATCACATCTGGAACACAAGGCCCAGATGACTTTGAGCCCTTCCATTCAAGAAAGAATAAAGAGAACCTGAAGTGAGTCCAGGGAGGGGAATGAAAATGCGGCAGCTGATTCAAGTGGCTGAAAGAAGTGGGCTAGAAGAAAATCTGAAGGCCCTGGGGTGGTACCCAGGAGAAGGTGCTGACACACAGCTGAGCCCTTTAGTGAGGTGCAGTGGGAGGACAATGAGCAACAAACAGGAGCTGAACCAGGGGAGGTTCCCAGCAGATATAAGGAAAAAGAAAACTCCCTGCAAAGATAATTAAGCATTGGACTGAGTTACCCTGATGTGCTGCAGAATCTCTGCCACTGCAGATTTTCCAGACTCCACCGGACAAAGCCCTGAGCAATCAGCTCTGAATTCAGAGCTAAACCTGCTTTAAGGGCTGTAGAGGGTAAATTCTTGAGATCCTCCTCAGTCTTCAAAACCAGTGATTCAGTACAGGTTCACCCAGCTGGAGGTCTGTTCAACGATGCCTGGCATCAGTGGAAGCTTCATTATAGTCAGCATGTTTAGCATGACTTTTCTGGCCTACCCACTCAGCCTCTAAAAATCAAGGTTTAAGGGCCAGGAGGTTACCCAAGGTTTAACACAGGAACGTAGAGTCCAGGTTTTCAGAGCCACCACAACCCAAAAAAACATCTAAAAGGACTTTCAAAAGTTGCTGTTCCTAGGGACACGGAATTTCCTTGCTGTTCAAGTATAAATATTAGTAAGCTCAGAATATCATGAAATATTTAAAAGCCAAGGAAAATGTAGAAGGCACCCTGGGTTTATTGGAAGCGTCCTCAGCTTCCATAACAAACCACTAATTGTGTTAGCAAGTGCCTAGAATTTTAGGATACTGCCACCACGTGAGCTGTCTACATCTTCTGAGCCTTGCTGTGCAAAATCCACTGTTTCTAAAAGGGAATATGAACTGCAATATTCAGTGCAAATCTGCTTTTCATGCAATTAAAAGGCTTCACAAATTACACTCACTTAATGAACTACTTCTCTCTCAAGCAGGAAGAGCTTCCTCCACAATGATCCTGATGGAAGTGCAATCACACACACACGAAATTATATACAGGCTGCAAAAAGTCCTTTATACTTCATGAATATAACTTTTATATTATCATAAATCACGTAGAGTATCGCTAGAGAGAAAAGCAGCATGTTCTGTGTACTCCAAGGATGGATGGACAAAGCTAAAATCAGGCCATTCTCAACTAAAAAGTACATTAAGGATGGAGTGCAACTGTGTGAAGAGTTGGAGGCTCACACAGCCCTGGTGCACACGGATGAACCACGCTGTTTATACCAGCAAATAAATCAGCTCCAAATCCAAGGGAAAGTGCCAGGTCACGACACGGATGATACAATAGTCACAAGAGATGAGTCCAGGGGACCATCTCACACCCTGACACCGACAGCAGGCAAAGGCAGCTCCACAGGCAGCCAAAACAGCGTCACACCGGCACAATTCCTCTAAGCGCGGCACTTTAATGATGTGGCTGTGGCGAGCAAGAAAAGACACACTGAGAATCCCAACACATTCCAACACCTGCCCCCATGGGAGAACCCGAACTAGCCGGCGTTAAAGCAGCACACGCGGCTTTCCGAGCCGAAACCCCGCCTGTGACGGTGTGAAACGCGGTGTGAAGAGCGCTGCTAAATCAATTTACGGGGCAGGTCTGCACCGCGGCAAGGACAGCACACGGCACAGGGCACAGGGCCATCCGCTCCTCCGCAAGCTCCAGGAGGGAATCACGTCCTGCCTCTCCCCGTCCTCCTTCCCCCTCCCCGCCCTCCCCCCAAGCCCAGGGAGTGTGGGGAGGAAGGCAAAGCCGGCGGGAGCAGCCGCGGGGTTACGGGAGGCGAAGGGCAGGCAGGGCCCGGCACAGGGNTGAGGGGCCCGGCGGCGAGTGGGGAGGTGAGAGCGGGGCCGGGGTGGCTGAGGGACACCGGGGCCTTGTCTGGGGCTGAGGGGGCCGGCAGCGGGCACGGGCCGGCGTGGGGAGGTGCCGGGAGTGCAGTGCGGGTGCTGTGGAGGGGACATCCCGCGGGTGCCCGAGGTGGCTGTAGGGCCGGGCGTGCAGCGGGCCGTGGGCGGACAGGCGCGCTTGGCGCGGCATCAGCTCCTTCGAAAAGGGCCCGGAAGGGAAACGTACTTGTAAAGCGTATTTATGTAACTGCATGTAATATAATATGTGAGTATTCTTGGGGTCCCTGCTTGTTTTTACGAAGCCGCGGATCTGTAGCAAACGTGTGGTTTAATGCCTTAACTTGGGAGCAAGATCTTGCATCAGCGTGAAGGGCCTGGACCAAGATGCGTGATAGAAAACGTTAAAAGACATTAAAATGCTTTGACAAATTCTAGTATGTTTGCTTTGTCAGTCAACGCTTTGTGTTCTGGTGAAAGCAAGGGAAGACCCTGTCAGTATATAGAACAGCCACTATCACGAGTATTTTTATATTTGTTTTTCATCTGTTCAGATGCATCCCAAGCTGCTTGAAGACACTTGTACACAGCAGAATATAAAAATGAAGGTTTAATACTGTAATCCCTCACTCTCGCTTTTTAATTCCTATGAATAGTGTTTACTGTCGTTTTAAGCCAAATTTTTGAACACCTGTGGTTCCTGAATCTCTTTTTAATTGAGGGGAAAAAAATCCTCATGTTAAATATGAGCAGCATGAGAGAGTAACAATATGTGGGCAGTCCTGAACATCAAGAGTTTTTCCTTCATATCCAGCTCAAGTTCAGGAGCATGAAACTTCTGTATGATATCTCCCTGGCTGGTGAAATGATGTGCTTTTTGCTGCTGGCCAAGCTTCTTCACATGCTAAGCAGTGGACAGTTCAAGATGTTTTATCAGGAGTATCAAGAGGTGGTCATAATGTCTTGTATTTTCTGCTAAACTGTGAAATATGGAATAATAGTTAATTTTAAATATAGATTATTGCTTGGTGAAAGTTAGAAGTCTCTGCCCATGGAGGAGAAAAGCAAAAGAGATGGGAAACCCTGGCAAGAAATAAATATAGCTGTTTAATTTCACTTCTGTAATATGTGACCAATGATGTGTGACTATCTGGAATAGGAAAGGCCAACAAAATAAAGATCCAAAGCATAATTCACAATTATTTTTAAAGGGTTTGGGCAAGTGTTTCTGTCAGTGGGATCCTGTGGTGTAAATTCTAACTGAAGAGGAGGCTGAAACGTAGAGAGAGTTCTCCACTTGTAAAACATTGCAGTAACTGTGCCCTTTCTTACTGTTCTGTCATCCTGGAGCCCAAATCCCTGAATATTTCAGGTGTGAGTGCCTACAGGTGTGTGTAACACAACACTTGCAGGATATCTGTTGGAGAACTTTGTTACAGAAGCTCATAACCCAATGATATGTATCTTTGATAAGTCACTGCTTACCTTTGAGAAAGAGAATCAAGTGATAAACTCCATGTACTCAATCTCTGTGATGGTTTTTTTCCCATTCCAAGCAGTACATTTTCTTTTGTTATTTCATTAACACAAAGTATTTCCTTGCTTTATTTTTTTTTAATTAATATACACTATATAGGTTGTCTTAACTATACAGGATAAGTGTAAACATACATCCAGGGCTTTCTCCTTTGTTCTTTCATTTCTCATTACTACTTGCCTGACATGTAAGGTTTTTTTAATACTTTTTTTTTTTTTACTTCATTTTATTACAACTCTAATAAAATTGGAGGCTAAATAATTATTTTATTTTTTTTTCCTTTTCCTGTTGGTGCCCACATAATGAAAGTATTTTGCAATTGGGAATGCTTGTGCCAATGCCCCTACCAGTTTTATTGTTTCTTGGATAAACTGCACATTTACTGGAAATCTCAGTGCCTCAGGAGCTGATCCAGTGGATCAGAGCTGCAGAAGAGGAAGTCTCACTCCCTTCTCCTCCCCTGTTTCCAATCCAGCAGACCCTGGTGCTTATCAGGTCCCTCCTTGAGCTGATTGAGCTCACTAACCTGACACTGAGCTATCGATTGACTCTCTCAATAGTTTTATTTTGTGCCATCCTGCTGGGCTGGTGCTGTGTGGAAAAGGACAAATACACACAGTGGAGAGGGGCAGCTTTGTAGTTATTGCAGACTTTCCTGTTCTTTTACATAAAGTGATACTTTTGTTACCGTTTTTTTTCTTGTAGACATCCTTCCAAATATAGAGAAGTGGTGTCTTACATTGTAACTTAGAGCAGTACAGATTGTTTCATATATAACAAAAATAATGGAGAAGTAGATACAGTTTTTTCAGTATGAGAACTGAATTTTTAGAACATGGAGGTAGTTCTGTTTATGATGTTCCTTTTTACCCAGTCACATTTTAACTTGATGGGTGCAGTTGAAGTCCTACTGATTTAGAAAACAAGTTAAAAAGCTATTTTTCAATAGCTGTGGAGTTTTTAAAATTTCAACATTTTGAACTACATATGTTCTTAAGAAAATACTGCTTACAACATCTGACTTTGCCTTTATTTCAGATAAATTTCAGAGAAGGAACTAATTTAATGGAAGTTTAATTTCATATCTACTTTTAGTTAATTATTTTTAAATCAATGATAATTCATTTTCAGGAGCTGCAATAGTTTATTCACTCTTTTTGAATGATACTGAAGGTTTGTTTATTATGTTCACATGTCCAGTTTTGAAAAGGTGAATTTTCAGCCATTGTAGAAGATCCCACTAGGATCTGCTGTCTGGTAGAAAGCAAGACCACAGGAATTGTACCCTGATCTTCAAATGCACATGATGAGGTAGATAAATCCTGCTCTAGGGGTGGAATGGAAATGCAGAGGAACATGGAAATGATTTCCAGTGCTCAGAAAGCATCTTAGGAAGTTATTTCTTTGGCAATGGACAGTGGTCATACTCAGCTCATTGGAGAATGGAGAGGTTTAAACATTTTTGTCTGTCTTAAACTGTAGAATAATCAACTTTCCTTCCTCGCAGCTCACATGTTGTCACATAGACCTGGTCAAACAGGGATGTCAATTTTAACTGCAAATCCTAACTGTGCTATGGAGAAATCATGTTCTCTGTTTTCCTCTTCTTGCAAATTTGCTGCTCCAATTCAGCTACTTGTCTGTGTGAAATGCAGATTCTAAGATGGATTAAGAAGATTTTTGGGTGAAAATTCCCTAAGGGAGGGAATACAAGGGTGAGTGAGAGAGCAGTCAGAACATTTGGGAAAAGGTTATGCTTGGAATTTGATCTACAAGTACCTTTGGCGTTTCTCTTCAAAAGCTGTAGCCTCCAGATTTGGGGGAAATCCTGGTGTCCCCAAAATACCTTGAAGGGTGCTGTGGATATTTGTGGCTGGTAAGAGGAAGCACAGTTGTGGCCTCTCTTTACCTCGTGGGTTGCCCGTGTAGGCTCGTAGGGGCTCCAGTTCAGGCCAGCAGCGTTGTGTGGGCAGTGTTCCTCAAAAGGACGGATGTGTTCTGTTGTCTTTGCTTTCAAATGAATGGTTTTGCTAGGTTTTAATTGTGCTGCATAAGATCCGTGTATGCTCTTGTCTTTGAGCAAAATGCTGCTCATTTTGGAATAAAACACCAGCCCATTTTAATTCAAACCCGTGTGTCTGCCTGACCAGTTTTCAGTGTTGTTTTTTCTGTTGGATTTACGTGTGGGATAGAGAGGCAGAAAACCACATCCGAGTGGCAGTTTTAATTAATAATCTTATTAGTGTTTGCTGTTCCATCGCCAGGCTGCTTCGCTCATCAGTTGTGGAATGTGCTGGAATTAGACTGTACTGATTAAAGTTTTATAGTGACCAAATCAGATTATCCACTGAGTCACCTGACCAGGCTGGGTTTGCAGTCATGTGACCCAGCGCCCTGCTGAGCTCCTGCTGGGAGCTGAAACAAGGTAGTTTGCTTTTGAGATGTTCTTAAGTATCTAACAGCATGGGTCGTGGATTATGGCTGCAAAGAAGATGGCTTCATTTTCCTGATCTTTGAACTAGCTAGAATGGGATAAGTTTGAAAGTGCAGGATCTTCAGGCCATGAGCCAACAACTGGAAAGAATGTTTAATCCTGGAAGCTCTGACACCAAAAGACCTGTTTTTTTTTTCAATGTGAAAAAGCTTAAAGACTGCTTATCCAGTCAGTCTGTGGCAAACGAAGGAATTAGTTGAAGTGTTTAGGACTGAACAGTTGTATGATATTACATAAAACATGATATGATCTTATTCAGAAAGCCTCTGGATGCTACCTAAGTTCATCCTTATGGGTGAATTTATCCTTATCCTGAGCAACAGGAAAAAAATTTAAACCTGTGTCACATTTAAACAACTCTTTTAAAATAGAAGTAAATTGGGAGATATGAGTTAAAGTAGTATGTGCTGAAGACAAGAAATTATTTTAAAATTTAATACCCGTTTCAGTAATTTCAGAATTTTATCAATACAGGATAAAATTATTGAAACCTGCAGAACAATAATCTTGAAAATGAATTTTGAGTTTAATTTAGTGTCTTAATAAACATCATACAGATTAGTGCTGTATTTAACAGAGATTATTTTCCTTGTGTTTCTCATACTTCCTGGTGAGATCCACAAACATGGAACCTTAGGTTTCCAGTGTGCTGGCCAATGAGGTTTTCTGGTTATTGTCTCTCACAGATATTCCAGACAGGAATGCTAACTTGATCTTTCAGCTGCCTCCAACTTTCACAGCATTGTGGCCATCCACAGAGTGGGGCATGAACCAGGGTGTGCTGCACTAAATAATTCTGCAGAGGTGAGTAACTCTGCCTGGGCTGAACAGAGAGCCTTGCTTGCTCTTCAAAAAAATTGACTAGAATGGTAAACTAATTAGGTCACTGAGGGGCAGATAAAAAAAAGAAAAATTTTGGCCTTTAAGTAGTCAGGAAGTAACATGTAGATTTTTCAGTGGGTTTATAAATTTGGATAAAAGACAAACAAGCAAGCAAGTAAAACTCAATGTAAATCCCTATTCACAACTGCCTATTTAGGGAAACATAAATTGTTTCAAACTTGGAATAATGTTTTGGTGAAAGCAGGAAGCACTAAATATCTGGCTTTTTTTGGTAGCCAGGTCGTGTTTTAGCAAACCATCATTATTCTTTATCTCGGTGGATTCAGCTTCTCCTACACTGAGCCCACCAATTCCATTCCAGAAGTGCTGTGTTTGTGGATATCCCACTTCAGGAGCATGTATCTCAGAGCAAGGCTGCCATTTCTTCCCCCAGTTACTAAATTGCATTTTGTGAGAGATAATATATGAGTAAGAAGAATAAAAGTGAATTACCATTTAAAACTGTAGATACTGAAACAGATGGAGGGAAACCAAAATGTCATCAAGGTCCTAGACATGTCAATCCTGTAAGTGGTTACTGCAGAATAACTCAGTGTATTGCAAATATTTCTGTGGTTTACAGCTGTGACTGTGTCCCTAGCAGAGGAAGAAAGGTAATGTAGCTTTTTTTTTACCCCATCTCTTACATTTCTGAGAAAACTGCTGCACATTCTTGGAGCCTCATGCTTCAACTTTTTTTTGATTGTGCTTCCATTGGTCCAAGAAGTGTGAAGCATTGTTTGATCTTGGTATTTTTATGCTACTGCCAAGCCACAGTGATTTTTTTAATCCATTTTTTAACATTTCTGGCACAAGAGAACTGAGATTCACAAACATTAAATTGTAGGAATATCATCAATCTTCATAGCACGCACAAAATTATCAATGAAAGGAGCTTTAGGACCAGTCACTGATTTTTCTTTTAGAAAAGCAATGTATTATGGAAGGAAGCCACGTTCTGTACTTTTGGAACAAACCAGATGAGCAAATTTAGATGAAATAAAATCTGATCACTTATTAAAAACCTAAATAGTTTTTAAGAAGGCAGTTCAGGGAGATACAATACTAGTGAAGTTGTATAGTGATTGTTTCTGGACTGCTTTTCTGTGGATGTCTGTGGTAAAAGGAGCCATACAGACCCTGCTTGGTGATGTGTTTGGTGTTAATGAGAGTGCAGTTTGTGGGGCTGGAGCGTGCTCATGTCTTGCAGGTGCTCTGCACCTCAGCTAAATAATCATTTGCTAAATTGGAGAAAGGCACCTCTACTTATTTGATTCACTAAGTAATCAGTTTTCACATTTATTATTGTGTCAGCTGTATCTTTTACTTTAAACCATCAAATTAAATAATAGCTTATGCTGGCTTTCTATTTTAGTTCATGCATTTAAAACCTGGAAGTCAGATAAAAAGATAGTTTCAGAATAAATTCAGTATATTATTTATGAGTGGAGCAACACATTAGCATGGAGTTCACAATAGATCATATCGCTTTTATTCCATCTTACAAGCTTAGCAGCACAAACAGAATAATCAACATATTATTTGGCTGTCATCTGCTGAACAGAAACCAGAGATCACAAGGAGGTTTTCCCTAGCTGCAGTGATGGCCTTTTTGTTCCAAGCCCCCATCTGGGAGGGCCATGGTGTGTTATCATATGGAACGCGGGGTTTGCTGTAATCTGCTTAGCTGCACTGCAGTTTGAATCTTTATTCCATGTTTGTGTAATTTATAATTTTAATGAGACCATGGCTCTTGTGGGCTTTGAAATATATTAAAAGCTCTTTTGTGCATATGCTTTTGTTCTTGCTTAATAGGCTCAGTGTATTTAAAACTGATGAATTTTTATTCATGGATTTGGATGTCTGGGGATTAACTTAGATTGAATATCATTGCACTCATCTATTGATGTTTGGAACTTTTTTTATACTTGTATCTCTAAGTGGAGAAGACCTTACAGAACTTGTATTTTACACATAAAGCAGTTCACAAATAACTAATAAAATTTTATTGAGCAGTGAGAAAAAATACTGATTACAGTTTATTTTTACAGCATAAACTCTCAATGAGGTACTATTTTACTCTGAAAAAAGTCCTTGAATCCATGTACATGTGTTTATTTAGAACTTTGTAACTAAAAGGCAGTTTGGGAAAGCGGTCAAAAATTTTGCAGAATAATAGCAGTGATAAGCACTTTATCTGCATTTTTCTTCTATTTAGGTAACTTGAAAGTGTAAATACTGAGCACTCTTGTCTGTTTCTCCTGTTTTTTTAATACATGTTTTTAATGCAGAGTGTGCATAAGGTATTTCATTAGAAGGTGGTGCTCATAACTGGGGAGTATTGATAAACATACAGAAGGATTCTTCACTGCTAATTTCTGTCAGTGCTAAAACTGGTCTTGTTTTTTGCTTTTTTTATTTTTCAGATGCTTAATGGTTTGTTTATGGTTTCATTGTCCGTCTGGTCTGATTTGTTATTTGTTTAAATATTTGATACTTTGTGGCTACTGTGTTCCTAAACTACTGTGGAGCACTCTTCAGTGGCATTCTCTCTGAGACCAACATTGGCAGTAAGATGGAGACAATTCTATTTTTTCTAAATAGTCTTGCTGATGGTGTACTGAAATGTGGAGGGGGTTTGGGTTTTTGTTTGTGCTGTGTGAGCCATGGGTAACTTCAGATTCTGTAGGGTTGTAGATTTTTAGTGCCTAAGGTGAAAATTTGGCTTCTAACTCCTTGTATTACTAAACTGAAATGAATTTTCAATGTTTACATGTCTCAAGGAAGTGAATGGATTGAAATTTAAGATAAACACATGTAGTTGTTTGACCATTGTGATGCAGGCACAACCCATTTTTCTCAGTTACCAGGAAGGTGACTGGTGTCTGCCAGACCTTTGGTGTTTGTCCTAACTTTGACCTTGTTGCAGAAGACTGTAAGTGAATATTTTGGCATCCCTCAGAGGCCCAGGCTTGCCATGTATGACCATGCCTTTGCTCAGCTGTCTGGATTTCACTGTTCAGCAAAGAGAAGTGTATGGAGCTGCAGAGGAGGAGAAGCTTTGGAATGCATCTGGCCATTAAAACAGCAGTTTATTCAGCGTTGTGCAAGTGTTAGGAGCTGCTTCCCAAAGGTAAATAGAACCAGTGAGAACTACCTGAAATGTGTGTTGAGAAATTGCTCATTCTTGTTGGTAGTCTCTGGTTATTTAACACCAGTGAATTGTGTTATGTGCGTTATGTTTACAGGATTAAACTCCTTGTCAGCTTGAGATCAGTAGCTGAAGGAGCTCTCATTGGAGACAAACTGGCAGTGCCTAGTAGAGATAATGTGTAAAAAAGTAATCTCTTCCAGAATATCACCAAGCTTGCTCACATTTGCCAGATCAAGTCCAGTGTTTCTTCCAGAGTAAAGCAACAGCTGGAAATAAAAAGGAATTCTGTCTGACTCCAGCACAGAAGGACCTTTTGAAAATTGTTTTTTGTTTTGCTTTAGATGCTCAGAATCCTCAGATTGTAATTAGAATATTTAAAGCATTTTGTATGTATGTATACTAATACAGGAAGCATCCAAATAAACAAGATATACACCCTTTGCTCTTCTAGCACATGTAACATCAATTTCATGGAGAAGTTTTAAAAGAATAGTTTAATATAAATAACAGCTCAAATATAAATATTTAAATGGCCTAGTCAGTGTGCAGCTTTCTTTGCCTTGGGTTTGGGGTTTTTTTTTAAGTAATCTCAGAATAATTCTGAGGGAAAGAGATGGTGCAAGTTTTGTGTAGAGAAAGGTGTCTGGTTAGAAGTGGAGAATGTTAGGAGAAAAGTTTCTTTTATGGAAGGAAAAATCGATAATTTCTCACTACTCATTAATTAGTGAAATTCCAGAATTGAGAAATCTTATATAAAGCAAATGCAACGGGAAATTTTTTATGAAAGTGAAAAATCTGTTTAGTGCCAAGTCCATTGATTTGTTCAGTCACACTTTCAGTGCCTGCAATGTTGATTTTCCTGTATTTAAAAATTCAGCACTTAAACTGTCTTACACAATGCCATAGGTTTTCTGGAAATGATAAATCTGCTCATTGATTTTCTAATTTTATTATGTACACAGCTAATTGTAATCCAAGATTACAGCAAACAAGATGTTAATTTCTAGACAACCTATGTACATTTCCCTCAGAGTGTCAGTGTTGCAGAAGCAAAGAGTACAAAGAGAATACCATTTGTGCTATCCTCTCAGGAGCTGTCAATAAAAGATGTAATAGGGGATTTAGGAATCTGGAAATGGCCAACTAATTTATGTGAATCTATTTTATTTCAGCTAGAAAGCCCAAGCTCTGTTTCGTCTGCACTGCATATTGCAGAGCACAGGCTGTCTATAGAAAACCAGGCGGCTGCATATGGATAGTCCCTTGATATCATTCACTTGCTGTGTAATCTTATTATGCAAAGTTCTAATCTTCACCTAGAATGAATGCCTCTGGGTCAGAATATAGTCATATCAGGGTTTTTGAGGTCATGTTTTGTGATCCTTAGCTTATTCTTCTAAGTAGAGCTGGGATTTAAAGAGTATTCCCCAGACACTGGCAGAGATAGACGGCAAAACCTGCTGCCTTTTTGGAAGACAAGACCAACATGAGGTCCCTGGTAGGATTAAACTTGATTTGTAGCTGTAGGATTTTTTAACAGATGTATTATTGGACAGGGAATAGGGGGCCACCAGCACAGCGAAATTGGATCACAATTGGCATTCTCAGGGAGTCCGCTGGCTGCTAAAACAGCAGCTGCATGTGGATTTGACTTCTTTCAGGTGAAGCGACTTCCAGTCATTTGGAAAGGATGGGATGAAAAGGAACCTTGGTGATAATTTTGATGTCTGCAAGATTTAGTACCAATGTAATGGGATTATCGGTAACACCTTCACTGCAGAAAAAGCCACCTGGCGCTATAACTGGCAGCAACTGAGAACTAATCCTTTCCCATCTCTTGGATGTCATTCATGAGGCTCAAAGTGATTTCTACCCTGCTAGCTGTGATTAATTTTATAAACAAACAAACAAAAAACCCAGTGATGAAAGCATAGGCTATGGAAGGGAAAGGGAACAGAAGATAATAGTAATTACATTTTGCATTTTATTTGCTGGGGGGGGATAAACTATACAGTTATGGTAAAATAACCAAATTGTGTTCTCTGTGATAAATATGGATGTGTGACCTTTTTTAACCAGTGTTGATTTCAGTAGAAATTTTTCAGCTATGTGCTATATGATAGTAGGTAGTACCTGGAAGTAATTACAACAGGTTTTAGGCCATTAGTTCTGCAATAAGGATGTTTATACTACAGAGCCATTAAGTTTTCAAGGGGCCTGTCACTTAAATAATTTGTTTTGTTGTGCTTAATGGTCTTATGTTCGATCTGGTGGAGTTGCCTTCTGATGGTAATTTGTATTAAAATTGTGTGATGTGGAAAACTGTTCAGCTGTTCACTTTCTTGTGATCAACAATAAGACATTGTTGCAAAAATGTACCGATACCAAGTTCTTAGAGGAGAGAATTATATTTTAATGATGCTCAACTTAATTATTTCTGTGTGGTTTTTTTTAAAATTAACTAGTTTGTTCTGGTGGGTTTTTTTACTGGACTTACTCTTGCTACAGCCACTTATTAACTAGAAGTTGTTACTTAAAACTACATGGAAACTTTTAGGATTTTAGTTATTTGGAATGAATATTAGATGTCTGAAGATGAACCTTAACATTTAAAACACCCTCCCATCCTCAGAAGGTACCTTGCCAGACTGTGTAATCTAGGTATACGTGTGCCTTCATTTGAAATTAACTTTCTTGGGTAGTAGTCATAATCTTTTATATAAAGTTAATAATATTTTGATCATTATCATAAAATCTGATAAGCTTGAGCATTTAAAAAAAAATCCTTTATACTACGTTTATAAATGGGGGTTGGTGAAATCCATGTCTCAGGAGTTAAAAATTTATTTTAAGAGAAACAAAATTTGAAGGCTCTTGTCTCATGTTCTGTCTTTGTGGTTAGTTTTTTACCATGCACCTCACTCTGAGCCCTGGGTTTCCCTGAATATCTCCCAAATCTATTTGCAAACATCACAGAGAAACACATGTCCAGGGTAACTATCCCTAGGTTTGTGTCATCCAAAATCCAAAAGGAAATCGCTTGCAATCACATTGAAACTTATTTTCTGAGATGTATAGCAGTTGTTTGGAGTTTCAAGATAAAAATACTTCAGTTACAACCTGACAGCTGTTGGCATGGGAGATCTGCACATTCTCTTGAAGTTGTTACTGTTCATTTGCCCCAATTTGATCTGTGTACTCTGGGCATTGTAATGTATTGCTTGTAAATGCCTTTTTACCTGCAATACCCACAGGTGCCTGAATTCTCTACTATCTTAATGTGTGATATAAGCTTTCTGAATAGCATGGAGCAAAAATAGAGGATGTTTGTGCATTACTTTTCTTCTTGAACTGAGAAGCAGTGTGAGGCTGCCTTTCTAGCAGGTGCTGTTAAGAAGTTTTGATGATGGACTTCCCTCAAAATGTAGTTGTGGTCATTGCATTCACAATACTTCTGCAACTCAAATTCATCTGCTGTGCCTCCACCTTCCTTTTATCACCTGTGCCACATTTCTGGGCTCACAGTGTGTCTGGCCCTAAGAGTAAGGCACTGGTTGGTGCTTTTCATGGTGCATTGAATTGAGAAGAGCCAAACACTTCTCTGCCTCACCAGAATGAATTCTGCTGAAAGTGCATTCCCCTTCCAGGGCAGCTGTTTCGGTTCCTGCAGTGTCCTGTAGTGTGGTGGGTGCTGCTTCTGCCAATGACACAATTCAGGACTTTTCTGGTTTTCCTTGTATTTTGGGTCATTACTGTGAAAATGGTCAGATAATCTTACAAATGATGAGTCACAGCTTGGTTTAAGCTGTTCTAGTCCAGAGGAGTTTATGTAAATAAAATAGTACATCTTTTTTGGATCAAATAAATTAATTTGGTAGAGAATATTTGCTCCCAATAATGGTCATCTTTTGAATGTATTCAGGCAAAATTCCCATTAAATTCTAGTGAGAGCTGTGAAAATAAAGCTATGCACTTTAAAATTCCTGTCTTTAAATACTGAAATGCAATGAAATGTAGAAGAAGATGCCTTTATTTCATCTTGAAGTGGGCACATTTTACTAAGCATTTTTCTCTTTTTTTTCTCCTTTTAACATACTGTATTTGCTTAGCAAACTATATTGACCTGTCTTAGGAAAATCTTGCAGTGGTTTTAGTTCATGATAAGGCAACACAGAATTTAGAGGGAACAGGTCTCTTCCTTCAATTACTTCAGTATGTTTGTTTTCCACTTCCTTAAGTGTAACCATCAAACTGTGGTAAGGAAACATTTTATTTAGATTAGCATTGCAGGAATTAGATCTCCTAATCAGAGTTAGATTTGAGTACTTGGGGAAGGTGCTTAGGAAATGTTTCTAGGCCAATGTGCTGCAGCTGAGAACAGACAGACCTGGTGCCTTCTTTCTATGTCCACCTCCTCAGGCCTGTGTGATTATTTGTTTCATTACAGCATTGAGTTTTTTTAATCTTGTGCATCTGTTACACACAAAAGATGGGTTTGTAAATGTTATATTGATTGTTCTCCAATGAATGATCCTCTTCTGTTTTGCTGTAGAACCAGCTGAGCACCGATCCACTGTAGGATGCTTCGCAATGCCCTAGGAAAAGCCTTCCGATTTCTGGGGTACACAGTGCAATATGGCTGCATAGCACACTGTGCCTTTGAGTACCTTGGAGGAATTGTTGTGGTAACTCTTCATTTTCATGACATTTAAAAGGAGATAAAACTGTACCACTGAAATTTTTGTATGTGATGATTTCAGGTTTCTTGATTTTCAAAGCATTTAACACAATTTATGGGAAGCAGGTCCTTTATGAAATTTATTTGTACTTTAGGCATTCATGTTATAACATGACATTCTGATGTGTTATTGCTTGAGGCCTCACTGAAGTAAATGGGAAACTCTGATTAAGCCTTTTGCAGAGTCCATCCTTTATGAAGGACTGGAGTCACCGATAGGAAATGGCTTTGTTTCACACTCTGGGCAAATTTCTGGGTGTTTTATGTTCCCTGCCCCTCCTCCCCAGGTCCTTAACCTGGCAGATGCTGCTGCTGAGCATGGGGGAGTTTAGTTGTGAGCTGCTCTTGCAGCTTCTGTGATGATTCTGTGTCACAGAGAAAAAGGGAAAGGGGTAAACTGGTAGGGCTTTGAGCACTGCTCCTAAAAATTTCTTGGAGAAAGGGGTAAACTGGTAGGGCTTTGAGCACTGCTCCTAAATATTTCTTGGAGATGTTGAAAGGAATCAATAAGGGCCTGAAGCACCTAGTGCAGTTCAGGACCAATCCCAAGGAAATATGGAGCTGTAACAGAGTTAGAGGTGCTCTGGAGGCTCCCCATAGCTTTTAAATGCATCACACATTCCTTGGAGGAGCTCACTTTTAAATCTCTCTGTTACACCTTTTCTAATTTATTATTATATCATTTGACTACAAGTTTATTTTAGATAAAAGTAGTTTGAAATAGTAATTTTTTTCTCCTTTACTTTTAATTTGCAGTGTTCTGGACCTTCAATGGAACCAACCATTCAAAATTCTGATATTGTATTTTCGGAGAACCTCAGCCGCCACTTTTATTGCATTCGAAAGTACGCTCCTCTGTTGAGACCAGATCTGACATTCTCTTTGCCTGGGCTTGTCAATAACCACATTCTGGCCTTTATATTTTGTGTATTTTTCTGCTTCTAACTTGTAATTTTTCATTGTGTCCAAAGGATGTTAAAGTTGCCAGCAGAAACAGCCCAATGAACAACTTGTCAAAATTCAATTTGGATTTAGTCTATTATCACTTTCACAGCTTTGTCCAAAAACTAGAAAAAATCCTTTCTTTTCTTCCCCTAAATGCTTCTGTTGAGTGAATGTAACTTCTCTAAGCTGCTTGGTCTTGAAAACCAGCCATGGGTATTATTGGTCTCAGGTTGTAGTCTTAAATGTTTCATAAATAATCTAAATAACAAAAATTCACTCTGTTTGTTTTTGTTTCTGTTTTTTCCTCTCAGAGGAGATATTGTAATTGTGAAAAGCCCAAATGACCCCAAATCAAATATCTGTAAAAGAGTAATTGGCTTGGAAGGGGATAAAGTCTGCACAAGCAACCCTTCAGATTTCCTTAAGAGTCACAGCTATGTAAGTATTAGAGTTTCTTACTATGTAAATTAATGATTACTTAAGTAGGCCTGGTGGTCTGTAAAGGATTTGCAATCTTTGAGGATCAATAAATCATAAATTATGATATTAATAAATCATTATTCTTGAAGATGTACAGTAAAATGTTGTACTTTTAGACTGTGTATACCAAGCTGTCTTTCTCTGCCTTTTGTGTCTGTAGGAACTGTAGACAGATAATATTTTTGCTCTGCCCTTTGCCTAGTCCTTCCCTGCAAGAGTGCTCTGAAATTCTCTGTATAAAGTGCGGTACAGATGACAGACGCAGGTGCTTGATGTTCAGGCAAAACTGTTCCTGTATTTTAAAGACTAAGAAGTGAATATTTGACTCTGCATTAGCTTTGCAGATTTTTCTTTCACAATTATACTGCAGTGTATCTCTATTTCAATGTAGCAATATTTTGATGTTCCTCAGTATGGTTGGGAAAGTAGAAATTTTCCCAACATGGCCAAAAGGTCAGGTGATGCAATGAAAAGGGAAAAATAACCTCAATGTTCATTTGTCCTTATGAAGAAAGACTTCAAAGGAGTTTGGGAAGATCAATGACAGAATGGTTTTAGTAACTTCTTTTTAGGCTATCATTAGAAAAATCCTCAGGAATCACAATCACAGAAAAATGTAGGGTTTTTCTTATCCCAGAAGCATGTTTGACTGCTACCTCTATTCAGCACCTTGTGGAGCCATCAGATATTCCCAGGTGTTTTGAATCTTTAAACAAAGCTGTGATTTTTCTTTCTCATATCCACTTCATCCTCAAAATAAGAAAAATGAGCATGTGGCCAAAGTCCTGTGCTTTGAAGGTGGAGAATTTTATGGGAATCTCCCTACAGACATCTACAGTTTGTGACAGATAAATCCTGTAAGAGTTTAGTTTCCATAAAGCCAGCCACCTTCGCCAGGGATCCCCCAGGTACCGTTGCTTCATTCGGATAAAGCAGTTGGAGTTTGTCTTTTCTAAAAGCAAAAATTTTTGTCAACATTTTGTTTAGCAGCAGAAAGTAAGGATATGGGTCATACCCTGCTCTGAGGCTTTAAATTTGTTCCTTGCACTCCAGTGTTGAGGCAAGACAGTTTGGGCACTCTAATCTGCACTTCTGGTCTAATCTAGTGCCACTGGAGCTGCTGTTCTTCGACTCCAGTCACTTGTAGGCACAAAAAAGGAACTCAATTCTCTGTTACATTTTGAAAGGGAGGACAGAACATTTAGTTCTTCCACAAATCAAATTGTGTTAACCATTTAACCAAGGAAAAACCTACAAAAAAACCCAAAGAATACAAACACACCTTTCTTACAAAGTTGAAGGAACCCTCTAGCTCTGGTAGAACTTGTAATTGTGATGGAATACACATTTCCCAGAGGAGACCAACCTGAGAGGAAAGCCTGAATTCTGTGTACACTGACAGAAGACACAAACTGAATTTCTCTGAGTTTCTTGTTCCTCACTTAGCCTTGAAAAGGAAGTTTGGGAAAGATTTGTACTTGAAACAGGATGTCAGCTTTTCTGGAAACACTGAAGTGACCAAGAGAATATTCAGCAGAACAATTTCTGCCCCTGTGCAGGATTTCTTGTCTCCAGTTTTAATCCAAAATATGAGGAGAAAGAGCAGATGGGGAATGCAGAGTCCATTTCCTGTTTTCATAAAGGCTAATGTGTGGAAATACAGCAAAGTGACAAGCTTTTGTAATTCTTACATCATAAATTGTATCTAGGAGGAGAAAATATCTAAATGGAAATACTCTTGTGCCTGATACCTGTTTTCCTTCTACCTTTAGTGCTTGCTAAAGAGGTAGGTCTTTCCATCTGTTCAGGAGGCACTTCCTTTACAGAAGAGTAAATTCTCAATGTGGATATCTGTACTTTATGCTTGTAACTGAGGCTGGATTATTCACTAAGTAAATTGCTGGGGAGGGGAAACGTGATACGTTTGTGTTTAGGCAATTGCCTAATCAAATTCCTTATTTTAGTGAATCACTGTGCTATGCACTTTCAACTCAAACACAGAATTCCTCACAGCACATAATGGCAGCAGATGTACAGAGAACTGGCTATTTTGTTGATACTTGCCTGAGGTGGGTTTTTGAAAAAGAAAAGATTGTCCAAACTGAGGAAAGGCCTGGGCTGTGATTCCAAATGGCCAGGAGTGCTGCTGGGGGGGGTCTGTCTGTCAGGAGAAGGTGCCATTCCTCAAGTGAGCAAAGCCTGGAAAGTGTCATGAGTTTTGCACTTTGTATTTGGCTACTAACTGCCTTTTTTCAAACAGGAAATCTGAGTGGTGTGTGAATGCAGTGACTCCAAAGTGTGTAAGGTCAGAGCAGTCTTTGTTTTTATTATAGCAAACTGCTCAGCTTTCCTTGAGGGCTTGTCTCCTGTTTTGGGGAGTTCCTGTCATGTTTGCAGACTTACAAAGTAAATAGGAGTATCAGATGGCAGCAATATTGCCAAATTAGGCGGCTCAGACCCCTGCTTCAGTCTGTGCTGGCGGTTGCCAGCTAGTGGATGGGTTTGCTGAGTTAGCCAGTTCCTGGAGATGCAGAGTAATGGCAATACAATGTGCTTCCTGCAGCTGAGGCTGAAATTACCTGTGAGCACCTGCTTTAGCTTTGCCCTAAAAGGAGAATCCTTAGTCACATTAGCAGGCATTGTTTTTAGTCTGTATGGACTGTGTCAGCGGCAGTGTTGGCAGATTTTACAGGGTTTAAGTTGGGGATTTTTGTGCTTATAAGAATTGTCACACACAATTCTTGAGCTGAAGCCTATTAGAATGCTAAAATTCAGATCCTACTTGAGGTGCTGGTTCATTCATGAATATACTTCTCAGGATGCCTTTATGTGTAGGTAGGAGAATGCAGAACTGTTTACAATTTGCTCTCAGTAAAATTACACAGATGAGATACATTATTGCTGCAAACAACCAAGGAGATACCTGTAGATTAAAAAAAAGAATAAAAAATCCAAACACAACAAATCAACCTTCCAAGCTATAATGAAAAGAAACAAAAAAAAAAATAAAATCATACATAAGCTGAATAAGTTGTTTTGAAAAGAGGTATTTCAGTTGAGTAGAAATGCACTATAGCAGTGGCAGTTAAAATAATCTTGCTGCTGTATTTAACTGAAGGAATACATCATAAGAGAAAATTATTTTTGTCAGAGTGCACTAAGTATAAAGCTGTATCAAAAACTGTCTTTGATGGAGTTGTTGGATTACAGGCTGGTGGAACTAATGCCACATATAAAACTGAGGGGTATAAATTAGGCATGTGGTGAAATTACAATATAAGTACATAAGATTTGAGTTTGTCTGTAGAACAATAATTAGGGATATCTTCCTATTTACATGAAAGTATAATGAAATTCCTTTCTTGAATAAGCTGCTATAGTATTACAAGGTTAGGAAAAGGTAGTTTTCCTTTTTGTTGATATCTGGTATGGAATGTGAGCATTAGGCTGGCAGTTTTGAGGGGCTCTTTTTTGGTTTTGTGCTAAATGTACATTTGTAAATACAAACAAGTGTATTTGCTGTAATAAACATTTAAGAATGCATAATGTTATTTTTTCTGTATCAGAGGCAATGTGGTATGAACCCAGAAGTTAAAAAGGTAAACAACTAATGTCGTATTCAGAACTAATTTCACTTATTAATAGATATCCTATTTTATTCATTTAACTATGTGGATATAAATAATGAGGATTAATAAGGAAATTAATCACAATAAACCCCTGAAATGGTCCTTAAAACAAAAAAGCTGAGAGGTTATTTTTCATATTTATGCTTTTATTTCCTGTTTAAAAAAGTCTTATTACAGGTTTATAATTCAGATTTAGTATCCTATTGCTATATTTGAATTTGTTTTAATGTCATTTACTTTAGCTTTAATTTCTTTACGTACCATATGTTCTTGTGCTGCAGGTCCTATTTACAATGGGAAAAAGTGAGGGGTAAACCATGAGAATCAAACAGCTTCTATGTCATAAACCACCAATATGCTGAGCCTTCGTGGCACTTAAACAAAAGTAGTCCCTAATAATGTCACTTCATAGAGGCAGAGTCTGTAAATAAGGAACATAAATAAATGATAAAAAGCTGAGATACAAACCCATATCTCAGCAACACGGTGCTGGTGATCAATCACAGCTCCCACTAATGCTGCCAGCCCTGAGTGTGTTTGCCTTGTGCTAAAGCGATCCTCGCTGCGGAGATGGCATCTCCTCATCCTGTGGCAGCTCCAGAGCTAACAGGATTCCCAGGATAATGCACCTCACCGTGTTTGCACAGTGCTATTAACTCTTAAACTGTTCTTGGCAAATGCAGTAAGAATGTGATGTGGGCACCAAGGGTAACATAATGTCAAGGCAAACAACAGAGTATCGTAATCACTGCCAGTTCCACGGGCCTTGGATACACCACTGAAGAGTAGTTTGGTATTTCAGAGCACTCAGTGCTGTTGGATAGACTCCTTAAAATATCCTAAACAGTAATTAAAATTAAACCTAATTAAAACACCACTTCTTTTGCCTTTGCTCCAAGTATCTTAATGTTTGCACTCATGGTTTAGTACTTCACTGAGTAAGTTTCAGTAGCTGCTGATATGGAAAATGAGTAAGGTATTTTCTTGCTCCTCCTTAGCTCTAAGTGTTCTAGAGGCTCAAGAGAAAGCCATGCCATGATTCTAACCAGCAGCTGTGCTGAATGTCTGCTGGGAGAGGAGAGCTAATTTGGCATATTTGTTGGTTTGCAGATGTCTCTATATCCCAGTATACAGAGTTCATGACTCATGCTTACCTTGAATTTTCTGAGAAGTCATTTAAAATCAAAATTCTGATTCATCAAAACTTAATTGTTCAGGGGAAAAGAAACACAAAGGATTTTATCAGTCTTAATTCCCAATATTTCTGGGATTTCTTCTGCTCAAATGGTTTGGTCTTTGTACCTTTGGAGTTTTGGTTTGGTGATACTT